GTATGAATCCGTGCAGAGCAGTTCTATAGATGGCATTGTTTTGTCAGTTGTGTGGTGGTTGGATGACACGCGGCGGGTGGGGTGGAGGGGAGGGATTCACTGCCTTGTACGTATAGTGGTAGAAAGTAGTGCACAATTCAGTACCGACTGGTGGCTATGTGCATGTATTCACATTTGGTCCGTCATACTATGTATTGTCAGTATTACCGTACGATTGGCAGCAGCTGTTTAGGGGGTATTTTTTGACGACCGCTTGTGCTGTCGACAATATCATCTGTTCTGACAGTTGGTAGAGTGGCCGGGCCAGATTGTTCTACCTTGTCGTTCGCACTGGAGTTGTTGATCGTCCTGCCATGTATCTATCTAATCAGTGCTAACTATTCCGTCATGTGTCAAAATAGGCCCATCTGCCCAACACTTAGCCGCGGCCCTGGCGTCCGCGTTCCCCGTATTTGACGACACAGTCGACTACATGAACGGAGTCACAGAGTCTCACAGTCAAGCGAAAGTGGCGGAGATAGAGGACAGCGATGATGTGAACTCAGACGCCACACCCACTTCGGTGCCTATGTACAGTAAGGTGCAGCGTACGTGCCTGGAGTTGTACCACCGCTTCAGAGCTGCCGACCCCAAGTGCTTTGATTTTGCCGATGTTGATACGATATGTTTCAGTGCGGGTATGGGAATTTGACATTTTAGGTCTATTGCATAACTAAATGCGCACAGAGTTCTGGTTTGTACGTTGCCCTGGTTATATCGATGATTCGTCTGTGTTTGTTTCTGTTCTAAGGACATCCACTTTCAGTTTCATATATATATGTATAGACTTTATCGATACACCAAATTCGGTAACTATGTATCGTTTGACGCAGCTAATTTTTATAGAATAATACAGTTGTAAATGGGTTGCCATCTCCGTGACGGTTTGAGATTGATCGTTACAGCTATTCTCAGGATGTGATACTATCATATCCACGGCACCGTTGGTGTCCAATTGTAGTACTTGGCATTTGGCTGTCTCATGATCTGGTCTGTTATTGAGTGTTCAATTGTGTTCGTTGGGAATGTCTCAGTAGAGCTGACCTGTACAATATACATACTTGTGAGTTACTCTCCTGTTTCGTCTTCTACAGTTGCTACTGTGGCGTGCGTGGTCCATCTCCTCTTACGCACACTAAAATTTAAAACGACTTTTTGTTTGTTTGCTCAACCGCAGCCCCAACTGTAGCACTGTCGCTTCTGCAACATAAAGTGATTACCCCCAGAAACGAAACAGATGACACAATCGCTCGATGGAGTCAGTCGGGCAAGACTGTATTGGCAAGCGACCCACTGGTAGTGCAACTGAGAGCAGCGTCTGTGTGTGCCGTGGAGAGCTTAGCAACAAGGTAGGTGTTGGATAAGTTGTATATGAATTGTATTGTGAGCTACGTTTGTACATGCATAGCCAATCCTGCGTGTACAGACAGGTACGCATCGGCTGGTTAGAGTTAGTTTGGATTGCCTGTAGAGCTTCTTTGTGTGCTGCGAAAAGTAGACAGCTTATCTTTGTTTACATTTACAGATATCGGTACGAAAGTAATTCTCTCGCCATGTATGTACGTATGTAATTCTTCTCTATTTTACAAGACTGGTACACGGTCTTAGAAGTCCATGAGATTTGGAGGCAGGATAAATTGCTCATCCCTTAGTATACGCACATATATTATTTAAAATTGGAGACTTAGCGCTACATTTGTTGACAATTGGATCTCGGACCACACAGCCGAGACTTTATGCGACAACAACAACACTCAATCCAAGCAGATAAGAGCATATCTACGTATATCGCTCATATGCACGGACCTTGAATATGGGTAACTACGTACTTGCTACTACATTGTGCAGTCTTATTAATTTTAAATCCTAATATTTACTCGTTTCATCGTAGAACGAAAATTCCCCGGTACGAGATTTCGCACTTTTTGAGTGAACAACACCGAAAGAGTAAAGGTAGCTTCCGCATCAACGCGATCCCTTGCCGAGACACGTTTGCCTGGTAGGCGGTCCATGGGATGCCGCAGAGCTTGCAGATTCCAGAGGCGGGACTACATATATATAGTTCACTAAACTTAGTTTCAAACCTCGTTAGGTAGTAAAATATAGTGAGGTTGCGGTATCGAAAAACCATTCCCAGGGTTTGTGCAACAGTATCATGTCAATCGCTTTTATGCATGTCATATATCACCATCCACGAGCTACTCCGATAAATTCACCTGTTGCATTGTAGTTATAGGTTCATGAGATATTGATCTTTATTCCTTAGGGCCATGTGAGGATGTAATATAGCATCTAAATGTCTATAATTCTCTCTGCAAGTACTAGAAAGGGGTAGTATAATAACAAAACGAAGCTATGGTGCGAGACGAGATGCTCTTTCAGTAACCACATTCGTTACAGTAGAACTCCCGATTCAAATATTATAAAGGTGTTTAGAAATTATGTTCCAGCTATTTTTTTTAGCTCGTGACTATCAAAAATAGACAGCTGTGCTCTGCCTGGTAAGGTATTTGTGGAATGGGCTGACCAGATCTTCGACACACCAACTAATTTGCTATTTATTCCTGTCGCATCCTCACTCGACTGAACGATACAATGTGGTGCGTAAATATTCAACTGACGTTAGTTCGCGAGCCAGTGTCGTCACCTCAACTGAATAATGAATTCACGTATCGCCGTCATCGTATATTTGTGTTAGTTAATCGCTGGAAATCGATACCGATAGATATCTTGGTGGGAAGTCTTGCATGAAACAATAGGTCTTAGAATTCGTTCCGGATTACTCAATTAAGTCCTAAATGTACGCGTATAAAAATTCAATACATTCGTCATTCAATTCGCATATTCGGCTGAATATTTATTCGAGTGTGCCTTTTAATCGAAACTCCCCGTTGGGAACATAAATCAAGCCACAGATATTTGATATTCTGACAGGTGGTATTCTTTATTACTTCTACAAGAAGTGTTACCAATGTTTGGGTCTCTCGTACTTGAATATTGTATATACATTGAGTGCTTTACATCTCAAATGATGCCTTCTTTGGAAACTTACTCTGATAGGCCTCATGTATCTCGTCAAACACTTCGGGTGTAACGGCATCGTCCTCCATGTCGTCGTTTAAACAAAGCATCTTCGTTACTGTGTCTTCTTTCATCTGCGTAAGCAACCTCTGGTATGAATTCTTCTTCAACTTGTTGAAGAGAATTTCGTTCTCCTCCGACCGGCTCTCGTAATGTGTGGGATAGCCTAACAGCATGACAAACGGCCATGTCGTAGGATCCGTCTGATGTCTGAAAGGGTGGTATACTATGCTTTCCATGACCTCAGGGATCGTGTGCCAAGCATTCAACAACAAATCCTTGAACACCATGATAGGTCCGTGTGTGGGAATGTGACACCAGCCAGCTTTCCCGGTCGACGGGCAGGTTTATTTTTTTTTTCCCTTTCACCAACTTAGCCCAGTCTAACGCATTTTTGTCCATACCGTTCTGGAAGTTTGAATCGTACCATGACCATAACCTAAGCACGGCCTTCTCGCTTGTCGTATTGTACACAAAGTCCAATGGTGTTGGGTTTAAGAAGCCCGTATCATCGTTCAAATTCAGGTACACATTACTCAAGGAGGGTATAAACGGTGTCAACAGCTCAAGAGTGATACTATTGAAGCAAGGCAAACGAGGAGAAGTGAGTAACTCGGGACGCATTGTGTTATAGTAGTTATCGAATAAGTCTGTGTGAGATACATATCGTATCCTCAACGCCTGGTCAGCGGGTCTGAGGTAGACGGGCCACTGGTTGTCAGTGATAATATATATGCGTCGAACCCAAGGTGTATTGTCTTCAATACTCCGCAGCGTATACTTCAACTGATCGAAGTCTCTGAACCGACTGTCCGCGGATGATGCTTTTGCAAGTGTACTGTCTAGATTAGCTACGTATCTGATTCCATTGCCATAATTGGTTTTCCAAGACGCGTCACTTCCGTTTACCCATGTGACCACCGCATCGAATAGCGCTGCATGACAATTGTTTATACCGCAGGCAATTTCCATTCGCCTGCAATCGCTATCTGGAATATCAGCTATATTTTTGACAGTCCAGATTGCTGCAAGAATATCGCACTCTGCTTTCAATTCTTGTATGGTCTTCAAATTGACTTCAATTGCAGTCTCGACATCCGTTGTATCGCTTTCATATATAGACGTGTTGAAGATCTCAGCAATTTCTGTGTCACGATCTAACTTCAACGGCAAGGGGTCCTGGATTTCTATTGTATTGTCAGAGGAGAAAGGTAAAAAATCTTCCAGTGTTCGGGAAAAACGGATGCATGTTGCTACCAAGGTTAATGCCAGCAGCCCTAAAAGCGCACGGTTCCCTGTACTCGAGGTATTCATGTTGTTTCTGATGTCCGTTGCCTCCTCGCACCCGGTTTATGTAAACTGAACAATCACTCATGTGACAAGTGGCAATACTTTACATAAAAAAAAAAAGAGCTGGTCAGCTGCAGCCTGGAGCATTTATATAAAGAGTATAAAATTTAATAAAAAAACACTTTATATAAAAAACCCCCTCAACATTTACGTTGAACGTATACGACATTTCAGCCGAGTTTTCTGTTTTGCGTTTCGATTTTTGATTTCTCTTCCACCCAAAACAAATGTTTTGCTCAAGTCCGATTTCGGAACTCCTCGGAAAAAAAAGTAGTGTTGACTCGCATATTTACTCTCATAGGGTTTTAAAAATACAGGTTCTGGATACCGAGGGACGGGTCACGGGATCACTTATCCCTATGTAATCATGGAGCTAAGGCCCGCGGCTGTGCCACCATTGTTTTGCAAAATAAGTAACAATCAGCTGTCATATGTAGCCTCCAACTTTGTTTATAAAATAAATACAGCTGTTTTGTTTTTACTTTTTATTTTTATATTCTTGGTTTTTGCTTTTTCTAAAAAACCAATAAAAACTAAGAGACTAGACTTTGACTACGACACCCGTCACTATAAAATTATTAACGCCCAAGCCGTTTCAAAACCGCATCCGGTCTTTTTGCAAAGGTAGGGTCGATATTTATGGGCGCCCACGTAAGGAGACTCTGGCCCAAGTACCGAACTATTAAGCGTGTACACTTCACAAAAGGGTTTACCGATATAACAGGCAAATATCAGTTTTCGGTACATAATCTACACTTCCACCTGAAATAGAATACAACGCGTGGATCCATACTTTTAAAAATTGTAAAAAAAAAATATCGTTTCATATGTAGCCTTCTTCTAAAATACAGAAGAAAAGAAGGCTATTTAAAATATGATCGTTTGGTTCATGACTCTCAGAGAGGAAAGAAAATATAGCTGGACGGACTATCGTCCATAGGACTTTGGTTTTACACAATTGCTCTGTAGTTCAACAATGTTGAATTTGGGGTTGTCCCGTTCTGATGTAAATTTCAGGTCCAAGGGATTTTGTCCTGTTCTGATTCTTAGAACATAGATTCAAAATATTTAATTTCACTCGGTTCAAATACATATAGGAATACTAGGGCTCGGGCGTTTATAATTTTATAGTGACGGGTGTCGTATAGACCAAGTCTATTTATTTACATATTCACAAACAAAGGACCGGGGGAGCAAAAGTAAAACAAGAAAGTGTTATGTGCAGACTGCACTCACTGCAGAGAAGCTGGGCAAGAGAAATATTGTCTACGTAATTGTATAGGTGACATTTCTGGTAAGGCTTAGTAAATATGTATTTACAGTATGAGAGGTATTTATATTAAAAATAAAGACGTTGAAGAATCCAAGGCTTATAGTCAGTGGCAGTGCATATTTACAAGGTCTGATAACTTGTTATCTAAACTACAATTTTGGGTTTTTCCTATGTAGTACATACGTTTAGAGTATACGTCAAATTGGAGTAAATTTGCTGTGCATATTACAAAAGCATTTTTTTAGCCATTATTATTTCAAAACAAAATAGTTACAACGGTTACGTGGAGTAGTAGGATTTTGATAAAAACTGTTTTTTTGAATACAAAATCAAATAAGGATTTTTCAAAAATACATATATGATTCCGTTGAAAGTATGTTTTTTTTAAAGAAGCAAACAAAAACAATAATAAATGATACAACATTTTATTTATTTAAAAAACAAAAACAAAATAGTAATATGTGCATGTAGTACCCCGAGTCTGTAGTCTGGAGCCTGGAGTCCGGACATGTATATCGGGTACAGACACCACAGTACCTCTTGTATTTGTATATGTATATGTATATGTATATGTATATGTATATGTATATGTATATGTATATGTATATGTATATGTATACATATAAATATATATATATATATATATAATTAGATATATAAGTATATATATAAGTATATATATAAGTATATATATACATATATATATGTATAAATATAAATATATATATATATATATATAATATATAGATATATAAGTATATATATATATAGATATATATACTTATATATCTATATACACACACACACACATATATATATATATATATATATTTATATATATATATATACATATAAATAATTGATGTTTATATATATATAGAATACATATACACATTTATATATTTGTATATACATATATAAATATACATTCACTATATATTTATATATACAGATGTAGGTATAAAAAATATCCGCCGCGCTCAACAGTAACTATCGCCACAGAATCGCCATCCTGTCCAACGCTAACGGCAACATTCCTCAGGATTGCAACAGCTGATTACGATTCGGGGCTTCTATAGTGAACCATATACAGTTAACCTCGAGTGCCCGGTAAGATGCACGAACACGCTTCACCGGGTACACGTTTACAAGTAGCGGATGGTGGTGTGCATGGAGTACATTCCGACTACGGGATATCGACACGAATGGTAAGTTATGCGCAACATCATGCTCTGTAGACCACGGTTCCCATCGTCCCACGCTAAGCTTTTCTGGGCTGATCACGTGCGAGTCGCCTTGGTGCGGCGCAACCGTTACCCGATCTTCTGTCGGTAATCATAGGGTTGCTCCAACAAAGGGGATCGACGAAGCAATAACGGCGCATACTGACGGTAAGTGACGTGTATTTGTCCGCCTTCTGCTTTCGACGAAGAGGAATGTCGATCCCTTGCACGTGCATCTTCAACTCATTCAGCATATAAGAACAAACAATACCCTGTGCGATCCCCACCATATATCGTACAGGTAGGTTTACTTCAACTTAACCTCTAGTTTGCAAGATTTCATCACATTCTATGTAATTCCCAAATCCACCATCAAACACACATGTCCGCACGTAGACTCAGTATCACACATGTCAGACTCCCGATT